CGATGGCGTAGGCTGCAGCCCCAGTGGCAGTGGGTTGCCATGGGCTACCGTGTGCAGCCAGCAGCCAGCGTGAGCGGCCCTCAAGCCGCTGTGAGCGGCCATCCAGAAGCCGGCGACTGATCTGCCTTGGCCAGGAAGAGCGCAATGATGGTGCCAACTTGGGCCAATGAAGCAACGTCCTCCACAACTAGACTGAAGAACAAAAACAACAGCAACTTGTCTGTTCCCCTTCCCCCAATTTCCCAATAAAAATTTAAAAAAAAAAAGAAAATGTTAAAGATTAAGCTACATCTGGAGAGATGGTTGACTAAAGGTTATATTGTTAATCTGATATTTAATAATTTATCAAGTAGTCTCTCCAGAAACTCCTTAATCTGGTTACTGACATCAGAACTGGCCAAATTCCAGCAATGCAGTTACTTTTCAAAGCTTTCTTATCTCAACACAGAAAATGCCCATACCTTTGTCATAATGGTTCTTCCTCCCATGAGGGATTCGGTGGAGGCCAAGAATATATCCATCTTCTGTCTCGACTAGGTGTTCTTCGCTAGGAAATCCCCAGTAGGAGATAATTTCAGTCTATGGAGAAAATAAGTAATAATAATGGAAATTCTATGGACAGAATCTGACAAGATCTCCCACATTAACAGGCAAAAGAGAAGACAGAATATCAATGACATTCTCCAGACTTTACTTAAGAAATCAACTGTGATTGAAATTTTAGTCTGCTGAACCTAGTAGCCCACCCATCACAAGAGTAAATCCTCCATTTGTTTTTATCCATGGGTTCCACTCACAGGTTTTGGCTAAACCTTGGTTTCATCATTCTAGCGTGCTCTACACCAACTATGTCTAATTTTACCATAGCTTTGGGCCTTTGTTTCCAACTTGGCTCCCAGGCACCAATCAACACTCTGGTTTCTTTCTTTTTTAAATATGTCAGCTAATACTGTGATCTACCACTATACTTGTTTTAAGAGGTCCCATCCTGGGAAACAAACCATAAAACTCATTAATCAATGAACTAATAAAATTACACTAATAAAGAATGGCAAGGTGGAATTGAAGAACAAGAAAAGATGAAAAATAGAGAATGTGATAGAATTTACTTCTCCATAGGGAAAGATTCATGGGGCAATTGTTAATGAGGAGCTCGTAAGATACGAGCAACTCAATTATCCAGAAGATTTCATGTAAACGAGTGCTCATTATCCTCTCTACCACAATACTGAAAGAATTTTATCATTTTTACAGAAAAAAATTAAAAGGAGGAGGATGGATAAAAGAAAAGCTTTGGAACAAGAAACACAATTTAACCTTAAGACCCTGGTGTCAGGTCATACTCTCTTGGATTACAGTGAATTTATCTCAGTCTCTGAGGTTGCCTGATTCTTCAGTTGGGTCACTGCATTGTAAGCTTTAAAGTTGCTGTTTTCTTTAGTAATCTCTGTTTTCCTAATATTTTATGCCCAAATAGATATTCCCAGATTTTATCGTTAACTTGGTTAATCACTTTGAAATATTTTAATTACTCAAAGTTTTATTTTTGCTTAGTCTAATGAAATGTTTTTTCAGATATTTTGATTTTTGTATTAAACTGTGCTCCCTAGACATTGCTAATCACAATCCTTGTTCGATGTATTGTAAAAGCAGTGCTCAGTAGTAACATTCTTACAAGCTTTTGATACTTTTTTATTGGTCTTTAAACAAATTTAGTGACTTAAAAATGAATCAAATTTATAAAAATATCATTTATCTCATTAAGAAGTATATAGTTTTAGGGCCTGCCGAGTGGCTCAGTTGGTTAAGAGCTCGCTCAAGAGTGTGAGCTGTGAGCAACAGCGGTTCTATTCCCAGCCCGAGCTAAGCTGCCAACAGGGGCAGGATGGCTTAGCTTAAAAAAAAAAAGAAGTATATAGTTTTAACAGTAAGGTGCAATCTGTAAAATACACATTACCTAGTGGGAAAGTCTAGCAAACTGAATCTAAGATTCAGAGAACATGAAAAGCACAATGAGATATAAAAAGATTAGAGTTTGTGGCTCCATGTAGCCCGTAACACCGAATTTAAGAACATAACTAACATTCGTCACATGCACTTTTAAAGCCAGTGACTTTGAGAAACTTACCACATTCATATTCGTTTCAGGATCCACAGTCAGCTTCCCTCTGGATGTCTCGGAATGCAGGGTCCCAAGGACCAAACAGAACACCAAACCCAACAGCCACATTTCCATTCTGTATAAAACAGTCCGTTGTTACTTGTCCAGGTTTCACTACATATAATTAAATTGGTAGATTAATGTTCCCATAAAAAGTTCTGAACCAGGTTTAGGGCAAGTAAAAGTCAGGTGAAGGGCAAATATGAAACAAATTACTCCAGCCATATTTGGAAGCAAAAAGGAGGAATTCTTTTTCACTAGGAAACCTCCCCATCAGTCATCCCCAGTTAATATGTGACCTTTGGAGCTCAGCACACCCACTCATGTCTTTACCATGAGGTTAAATAAACTGTTTCTGGAAAAATAACAGAAGAGAGGACTTAGAAGAAACTAAGCTGAGAAAAAGAAAGATCTACAAAAATCCAGAAGCCTGTTAACCTCCCACATTTTCCTCTGTAGTTGTAATTTCAACATTTTAAGTTTGGCGAATACTAGCTCTTGCCCCCCACTATCTACTCACTTCCATTCCTACCCAAAGTTATATGTCAGGATTCAAATTTGCCATCCAAGGAAAAACAGTAAAAGAAAAGAGAGCCTGCAAGAGAAACAGGGAAAGAGGACCACCCCTCTTTCCTTCTGAGACCCTCCAACCATCAACAAAGACCATATGGTTTCTGTCCCCAGTGGCACACAATCACAGAGTAGCAAAGACTTGGAGATGGATGTTAAAGGCAAAGTGCGGTGACACCCAGATGGTTAGAGCAAGCAAGGCTGGGACTACAGCCCAGGCTGCCTACATTTTTTTAAATAAATATAATCATTTAAAAAGATGCTTGCATACGTGCCCATACAAAGACTTGTACAAGAATGTTTAAAACAGATTGTGTATAATAGCTCAAAACTGTAAAAGCCCAAATGGGTGCATGGATAAACATATTATGGTATGTACATACCACTCAGCAATACAAAGAACACACAATATGAACACACAATAACATGGATGAATCTCAAAATAATTATGGTGACTAAAAGAAGCTGCACCCCCCCTCCCCAAAAAGGATAACTGCATGTGATTCCATTTATATAAAACTCTAGAAAATGCAACCCAATCTATATTGACAGAAAGCTGATCAATGGTTGCCTAAGAAGAAAAGGGGTGGGAGGAAAGGTTTACAAAGGACTATGCACAAGGAATCTTTTTGGAGTGATAGGTACGTTTATTATATTGACTTGACTGATGGGTTTACAGGTGTATGTATACATGTCAAAACTTATAAAATTCTACCTTTAAAATATGTCTTGTTATTGTATGTCAATAATCAATACAGCTGCTTTTTAAATATTATGCTTAAACAGTACAGGCATATCTCCACAATATTGCGGGTTCAGTGCCAGACCACTGCAATAAAGCAAGTATCACAATAAAGTAAGTATCGCAATACAGATTTATTTATTTATTCAATCTGGAACCAAACCTGCAATATCTCCGAGGTATGCCTGTATTCCCCGCGTCTTAAGAAATTGGTTCTCAGGAGACTGTAAAAGTGAGCTGACTCCCTTCTGTTGATGCAGCTCCTGCTGGTGCTGAAGTTATTTCTCCAAGCAGTGGTGAATCCCAAACTTCTAGATGGGGGGAATGTTACCTTAGGTCTGTACTGGCAAAGCAAGCCCACTTGTGTTTATTTACAAGTTTGTATTTCTTTGTGGTGGTCAGAAGGGCTGAACCATCCTGGGCTACCTTTTTTCATAAAATACAGCCTCCCCAAAGTCCTTTATTACTAGGGAATAATGAGTAGATTGAAAAGGAAAAAATGAAAGGTTATAACCACATTTTAAAATCATGGAACATCTGGCATAGCTGCTTTCCATTCAGCACCTATCCTACAGAACCTGGACCAGCTGTCCACAGAGGAATCTGGGGGGGCGGTGGGGGGGGGCAGGGGACAGGGGAGTAACAGCTGAAGCTACTCAATTGAAAAAAATCTCCCAGCTAATTTTTCCTTCCAATACAACAATAAGGAAGTTTCTCAACCTACTAGTCAAGTGATTCTCATAAGGTTGAAAATTCGCAAGTGCAGAGAAAAAGCCCCTTCCGGGCTGGATTCTGTGCTTTTCTGGGCTCTCAGCAACTTTCTCTCAGCTCTTTTCTATATAGTAACACTCCAATTATGTGTTTGTCTGCCCTCATTCACCCCGGCACGAGGGCAGAGTGGGTGTCTAATTCAACTTTGAACCCATAGGACCTCCTTTCCAAGTGCCAAGCAAATATTATAATGATGCACAATACAGATTTTGCAACGAGGGATAAGGGCGGTCCAATAGTTTAGCGGCTGAAGAAAAGAACAGCCCCAAAGCAGCTTGTCATTTTGCTTAATAGCAATAATTATAACAGCAAGAATAAAAATGTCGGCTCCTATTTAAGCTCTTGAGACACGCCAGACCTCACAGGCAGCGCCCAGGACCTACCATGTTCATTACTCCTCCACAAACTCTAAGCAGTACCCTTAAAATCCTTTTATGAGGAAACAGATTCATCCGGGTTAAGTAGCGAAAGCAAAGTGCTAACTGGTGAAATAATGTCACAAGGATTTTCACAGGACCGATGCCAAAGTCCACTCCCTACCAGGCCGTGAGCTAACAAGTTCGAGAGGTCGGGCAGGCTGCCTGACGAAGCTAACGGGAGCAGAGGGCGAGGCGGGAGAGGGAGCAGGGCATCAGGGATCCTGGCTGTCCGAGGCCTCTGGGCAGCTTTACTGAGTGGCAACCGCGTCTGCCTGGGAAATCGGAGGGCACCCGGGGAAGGGTGGACAGAGAGCCCCCGACTCCTGGGTCATTGGGAGGTGCCTTGAGCCACCCGCAGGTGCTCCAGGCAAGACGCGCCGGGGTTGGCCAAGCGCAGAGGGTGCTGCTGGCCTCCAGAGGCCCAGGGGCGGCGAGATGGAGCCCCCTGGGAGGAAGCGGTGCGCGGCCCTACCCTCGCTGCGGGTGGAAGCAGACCCGAACTGCCGCGCCTGCCCCTGGCAACGCAACGGCGGCGGCACTCACCTGGATCCTTCCTCCCGGGCCGCTGTCCAGAGTCTCAGTGCCGGCTTGCTCAGGCGGTGGCGCCGGGAGGAGACCTGGAGGGGGCGCGGAGACATCCCAGGCGTCCGCAGCTAGAGCCGCCAATCAGAGCAGCAGGCCGCCGGAAAGCTCAGCGGGGACTCCGCCCCGACTGCACACTGCCCCTTCCCGCCCGGAGCGCGACCCCAGTGGAGCATGCGCCATGGGAGGGCCCTAGAGCTGCGGCGGGCAGGCCTCCGCCTCCCGTTTGACAGCAGTTCCCCGATTTCACATACACGCCGAAACAGCCTGGTCTCTTAACGCTGCCCCAGGAGCTCCTGCCAAGCCGGTACCCTCTGCTCCATAGAGAACAATTAGCATTGTGCCTAATGCAAAGCGATCTTGCTGTACATTTATTTATATTATGCAAAGGCAATAAACATACACAGAAACTTATGATTAACCAATGTTGCTTGAGAAGCATAGACTTAAAGAAGTGCTAACAACATATGAAATCAGTAAACATATCCTTAAACAGAAAACCATTTTTGAATAAGGGACAAACAGCTTTAAACTGTATGACCCAAGAGCTACAATAAGAGTGCTTTTCGTCTTGAAGACTTTATTTTTCTTTTACATTTGAAAAAAACATTCACTGAGTCAAAGAATACCTGTGGAGCACTCATTATGTACAAGGGCTGTTGTTAAACAGGGGAGATTGGAAACTCATAGTAGATGTTTCCTGGAATCGAGGTAAATCTACCAGCCTGCTCCCACAGCTCCTTGAAGCTCTGTCTGTCAAAAATCAGGAATCTGTAGGCCAGTGTATATACACATAGAGAAACTTCCAGATTCCATATCCCCACTGGGTCATACTTTGATCCTGGGAGAGTTCAAGGACAGCCCAAGGGTGACTGCCACAGGAGATATCCAGCCTGTTGTAAAAGGTGAATTTGCTGGAGGAATTCTGATATCTCAGCAATGACCTATAAGGCTATGCGTTGCCAGACCGTTTGGGCTAGGCCGGCTTCCCCGTATTTGGAGTCAGTCATGTCAGTGCTCCTGAAGGGATTGCTGTCTGTGTGGGCCTGTTATAAAAGTCTGTACTTCATGCCGGCATCCACGAGCAAGTTTGCTGTCTTTGAGTCTCTACAGGCAATGAGTTTCTGGTGATAGCTGCGCAGCAGACAGTAACTGGTGGAATTTGCCTTCAGCCCCTTTTCTTTCCTGTTGCCATGAGCCACTAGGTACCCAAACACCCTCCTGCACTAGCGTCCTTCCTCGCAAGGCCGTTTTCTCAACATCCATCACTTCAAATGTTTCACTGTGTTGGGATGACCAAGCCTTCATGATTCCCACTTTGTGAGACAGTCTGTGGAGGCTGGAGGTGTTTTGTTGTCTAAAAATGTACTTCATGGCTATCGCTTTCCCAGACCGATGGGCTGGGCCGGCTTCCCCGTAATTGGAGTCACCCATGTCAGTGCTCCTGAGGGCACAGCTGCCTGTGTGAGCCTCTTGTAAAAGTCTGAACTTCTAGCCGGCATCCAAGAGCAGGTTTGCCATCTTTAAAATCTACGGACAACACCTTTCTGGTGACAGTTTGTGCAGCAGACAGTAACTGGTGGAATTTGCCTTCACTCTCTTTTCTTTCCTGCTGCCATGAGTCGTAGGTACCCAAATACCGCTCCTCCACTAGCATCCTTCCTAACGAGGCAATGTCCTCAGCCTCCGTCAAGTCAGTATTGCATGATGTTTGGGTTATTCAAGTCTTTATGATTCCCACTTTGTGAGGTAGTCTCTGGAGTCTGGAGGAGTCCTATTGTCTCAAAATGATCTTCAAGGCTATCGCTTTCCCAGACTGGATGGGCTGGGCCGGCTTCCCTGTAATTGGAGTCACCCATGTCAGTGCTCCTGAGGGGACTGCTGCCTGTGTGATTCTGTTGTAAAAGTCTGAACTTCATGCCGGCACCCAGGGGCAAGTTTGCCATCTTGAAAATCTACGGACAATACATTTCTGGTGACATTTTGCGCAGCAGACAGTAACTGGTGGAATTTGCCTTCACTCTCTTTTCTTTCCTGCTGCCATGAGTCGTAGGTACCCAAATACCTCTCCTCCACTAGCATCCTTCCTACCAAGGCCTTTTTCTCAGCATCTGTAACTTCAAATGTTTCACTGTGTTGGGATAATCTAAGCCTTCATGATTCCCACTGTGTGAGAAGTCTCTTGAAGCTGGGGAAGTTCTGTTGTCTCAGCAATGACTATGGCTTTCAAGACAGGATGGACTAGGCCAGATTCCTCGTAATTGGAGTCACTCTAGTCAGTCTTCCTGAGGGGACAGCTGCCTGTGTGAGCCTGTTGTAAGAGTCTGAACTTCATGCTGGCATCCAAAAGCTAGCTGGTTTGCTGTCTTTAAGTCTCTACAGACAATACGTTTCTAGTGACAGTTTGCGCAGCAGAAGTTACTGGTGAATTTGCCTTTAGTCTCTTCTTTCTTGCTGCCATGAGCCACTAGGCATGCAAACCCCCCTCCTCACTGGCATCCTTCCTCACAAGGCAGTTTTCTCAGCATTCGTCACTTCAAAAGTTTCACTGTGTTTGGATTATTCAAGTCTTTATAATTCTCACTTTGTGAGGTAGTCTCTGGAGGCTGGAGGAGTCTGTTGTCTCAGCAATGATCTTCATGGCTATCGCTTTCCCAGACAGGATGTTGTGGGCCACCTTTTTCATAACTGAGCCACCCATATCAGCCTCCTGAGCAGACTCTTGCCAGTGTGAGCACCTGCTCAGCACAGTTGGCTAAGAGGCCCCGCGGCCCGGTGGGCTTCCTGCCCTGCTTGGGGTCACAGTGCCCTAAGATCAGCTTACATTTGGGAAAAGCTTGTGAGAGACTCCATCTAATTCAGCTCAAAAGAAAATCAGTTCAAAGTTCAGCTGATGAACTGATCTTTAGAATGGAATCAAAACACAATGGCAGACCAAAACAAAAACAAACAAAAGCAAATACTAACAAACTAAAAAAAATTAGAAAAAGAATGAAGATAAATGGAGAAAAAAAAAAGACTAAAGAAAAAAATGAGAAAAAGGAAAAGTAAAGGAAATAACAATCAAGCAAAAAAGAGTAAATTGCCAAGTGGAAATAAGCTTTCTTGGTCAAAGTCCCTCAGGTCACTGAAAAGCAGGTTTTTGAGCTTGAAGGACATGTAACCTAGACCCAACCAGGGACTTAGGTGCTTAGAATTCCAAAACAATAGTTCCGTGTGAGGTCATAGGGAGACATGGACCAATCAAGGCTGGGTATAATCCATAGCGATTTTCTCACTTTTTAGTCTCAAAAAACCCTTACTCTTAAAAAAATATTAATTAATTATAATAACCCCAAACAGCATTCTTTTTGCTTATGTGGGTTATAGTGATTGATATTTACCTTACTAGAAATTAAAAGCTGTAGGATGCTTTATTGACCTTTTCTAGTTGAAAAGCTGCAATCATGTCTGACTTTTGAAAGAGCTCATAATGTCTACACTTAAACTATTTAATCCCTTTTTCTTTCTAGTCAGAATGATTGGTTTCAAAAGGATGCCACAACTTAAATGGCATTACGATACTTTGTGAAAATATTCTATTGCATAGCACACAATAAGATACATTATTAATATCTATAACGCTGAGGAGAAGCTAGCCGTCCACGTATTTTCATTTCTTATTTACAGTTTTGCCCGTTTTCTTTGGAGTACATTCTTCCCTTCCCACAGTCCCACCTCAGGGCTCTGCACTAGCACCTACTTCTCTGCATGGAATGTTCTTTGAGATCCACATAGCTCCCTCCTCCTTCAAGTCTTTTCTCCAATGTCACCTTGTTAGTGATCACCTTCCTTTATCTACCTATTTAATCTTTGTGGGGGTTTTTTTTGTTGGTTTTTTTGGTTTTTTTTTAGCTGAGCCATCCTGCTACCTATTGGCAGCTTAGCGGCAGCTCAGCTCAGGCTGGGCATCGAACTGCTGTTGCTCAGAGCTCAAACTCTTGAGCAAGCTCTTAACCAACTGAGCCACTCGGCCGGCCCTTACCTATTTAATCTTACAAAATCCCTTGTATGCCTTATCAGCCACCCCTATCCGAAAGTTTATATTGTGGGAATTTTCAAGCAAAATTTTTAAAGTATAAAGGCCCTTCCTCACGTATCTTTCAACCAACATCAGTCATTAGCAACATTTTACAATCTTAGTTTATTTATACTTATTTCAGTCTGCATCTTTAAATAAATACTTGTATTTCAGAAACACAGCCACGATGCCATTATCAAACCTAACAAATTAATAGTATCATATGTATTCAAATTTCCCAGTTGTCTCAAAGCTGTCTTGTTACAGTTGACAAGGTACATGCATTGCTTCCTAATTCTTCCATAGCTATATCACCATTCAAAATACTACATATTTTATGTATTTGCTTACTATCTGTCTCTCTCATTAGAGTATCAATTTTGTATAAGCAGAAATTTGTTTTGTTTTGTTTTTTGTTGTATCTTCAGTACCTAGAAGAATGGTTCTTCAATGCATTAAGCATTCAATAAATGTTTGTGGGATAAATAAAGTTGGCAACAAGGATATAAAAGTCAAAGGGTATGCTGTGTAAATCTGGTCAAATGTGTTAGCTTCTAGCTGTAAATTTGTGGGTAGCTTTTCTTTTTTTTTTT